CCAGTTGCTCCAGTTGCTCCAGTTGCTCCAGTTGCTCCAGTTGCTCCAGTTCCTCCAGTTGCTCCAGTTGCTCCAGTTGCTCCAGTTTCTCCAGTTGCTCCAAGAGAGGCTGTTGTCGACAAGTTCGGAGCCGAAGGAGATCCTTGGGATCCTTGGGATCCTTGCACCGATTCTTGCTGTTGAGAGTTGGACATGGTCGATGAGTGGGATTTGTTCTTGCGGGAAGACTTGTTGCAAAATCGGCCCGGCATGCTTGCGAAGGACTTGGTGTCGTCGTTGTAGGCACAGTCGGGTAGCGAAGGCTTATCGGATGGGTCTTGGTAGAGAGGCAAATCGGTGGTGCAGTGCGATAAGACCCTAATGTCGGCACGGATGTCGTAGATGGCTCTTGCTTGTATGTCACTGATGATCAGAGACAGAGAAGACTTGCGTTGTTCAAGGCAGTTGGAGGTTTCGGAGAGATACTGGTCTTTCCTGATGAAGCCCCACGTTCTTGACAACAAGCCCTTTTGAAGAAGCGGTTCGAGAGGGATGTGTTGGAGGAAGATCAACAAAGATTGCGTATGTGAAAAGACTTCCTCTGTCTGAAGAAGAGGATTCTGAGAGATGGAGAGTGAAAGTGCGTGTAGCTCTTGAAACTGATTCTGATATCTCAACAGCGTAGAACTGCTGCTTTTTATCTTTTCCGTGAGCTGTAGAAGACCCAGACAGGCGCTGGCCAGTTGAGCCGCGGCCGCAACGACTCCAAGGACTTCTGCCATGTTCCCAGCAAGATGGATGCCTCCACGAGGCAACCAGTCCGTCAGTTGGGCCTCTTTCGGGGGCCGTGAAGATACTGCTACGGTCTGGCGGTGAGGGTACCGACGATAGCTTCAAGATTCTCCCTTGAGAGACAGGTACTCTCTGGTCAGATCTTCAACCTCTGGTGCACACTCCATGCAAGCTGAACAATGTAGTGGTTGCGACGAGGCGCCACGTGTCAATTGGGGGCTGTTTAGCAGAGTGAAAGGCTCGAAGTGTGCCAGTCTTCGTGATCAAAGATATTGGATGTGGTCAGAGATGGTTGGGCAAAGGAGGTGAGGCCTTGACTTTCACTACCTGGCCAGCATGCAGAAGAATCAGGCTGGGCCTGGGTTTCTACTCCCAATGGGTCACCGAGAACCTCTGAGTTATTATTGCCGTCACCCCCCCGTTGAGACTGGATGCGTCTCGAAGTCTCGCTGCTTTTAGCCCGAGCCAGGAGCGAATGGCCCTGAGTCTGGTGTGGTGGCTTGGCCAGCCAGCATAGCCACAGACGCCCAAATATCACCGTTAAGGGCCTCGTCGGCCGTCGTTCGGAAACCCAAACGTCTGGGACGGCCGGCTTGCTTCACCGTAGTGGCGTGTGCACTAGGTGTCGAGAGACAGCTTCCCCGGTAGTGAAGAGGCAGTCACAACGAATCATCGTGAATGCATAGTAGGTCAGCCATCGGGTTCTTGGCTGCTAATGAGGGGAGACCGCAGATGCGCTGGCCGATTATTCCGGATACTGAGGTGTTTGGGAGCTAGGAATTGAAGGGGTGTATTTCCTGCGCTATCTGCTGCACGAGAGACAGGTGGTCTGGTCGATGGGCCTGTCATCGCACTCTGCAGGTCTTCGTTGATGTGTGATGCCGGGAAGACCTTTTGGCATTCGGTCAGCTCACGAAAGGCCTATTGTTTTGATCGTCACATGCTGTTTGCTAAGTGCACCATTTGTCCTATTCCGAGACGCGCGCCTTCACGTGGTGCTAGTTCAGTGTCCGTCTCACCCCCAAGAATGAACAAATAGCCTCTAGAGGGGTAATAACCTCTTAAGCTCTAGAGGGGTAGGAATAACCCTTGGGCGCCCATTCCGGCTAGAAGGTTGGTCTAGTCAGTAGCGGCTCTCGCTGGTAGGGTCTCTCGGGGGCGAAACATCGGCATGCGTCGAGGTTAGCGAACCGGCCTCAGGTGAGAAGCAGTGGGAAATGTATAGAAGTGGTGAAGAGAAGCAGCCGAGGGCGAGAAGCGACGGAGGCCCGCGCCATGGTGATTCTTGAAGATGGAGTGTGAGATGGAGTGTAAGTGTCGCTACCAGATGGACGTGGCTGGCACGAAGTGGTGGCGAGAGTTGGTGTGGATCCTCTTGGTGGGTCTGTTGTGGGGATGTGCACCACGTCAAAGGTTGAGACCTGGGATAAGGCTGAGCACAAAAAAAATCTCATCGTCTTGCAGTTAGTCAACCCATGCCGCCCAGCTTGCCCGCATAATTCCAGGTCACCTTTCTACCAATTGATGAAATAACTCTTTCGCAATGGGCGACAACATCGAAGCGGCTGCGCCGCATAGCACCTTCGACGTATGTATCCTGAAGCCGGTATTTTTCAGTCGTCCCTGACGTACAATATCTAGACCATCTTGGTGCTCGATTTCGGCTCTCAGACCAGTCATCTCATCCTACGTCGTCTGAGGTCGCTTAAAGTCTATGCTGAAATGCTCAGCTGCACCACCAAGCTTGCAGATCTCACCTGGAAGCCTGCTGGAATTATTCTCAGCGGAGGTCGGTGGCTTCTGAATTCAAGCCCAGCTACGGTGCAAGCACAGCCCTCTAACAACTATCAGGTCCATCCTCTGTTTACGATGAAGGAGCTCCCCGTGAGTCATTTGCCTCCCTGGTATGCAGCCAATTGTCTAATAAACACCAGACGTCGATCCTGCCGTCTTCGATCTCGGAGTTCCTATCCTGTGAGTTGCTGCTACCTGAGCCCTGGCACGGATACATGGTCCGCTAACACGGTACCAAGGGGTATCTGCTACGGCTGCCAGGAACTCGCCTGGCGTATTGACGCACAGAATGTCGCTCGCGGCTCTACCCGAGAGTACGGCGAGACGGATCTTACCATCCACAAGGTTAATGACCATGCCGACCGACTGTTCGACGGCCTTGGCGATTCGCTGCATGGTATGTCTACCCCTATCCGAAACTGACTCTAGTCCGAAGTGACTTTATTCCGATCTTGCCTCTAGCTGACATTGACTACTCGTTAGTCTTCATGAGCCACTTCGACAAGCTGGTCCGTCTTCCTGAGGGCTTCGTGACTATCGCTAGCACAAAGGGCGCTGAGTTCGCTGGCATCGCCCATCAGTCGAAGCCAATCTTTGGTTTGTTCTTCCAGGTTGCTAACCCGATCAAGAAGTAGCTAATCAGAATCGACGATAGGAATCCAGCTCCATCCCGAGATCTCTCACACGGCGCGAGGTACCGAGATTCTTAGCAATTTCGCCCTTAAGGTCTGTGGCGCACGCGCAGACTGGGAGATGGAAAACTTTACCGAGAAGGAGATTATCCGGATTCGGAAGCTTGTTGGAGATTCCGCCCAAGTTGTATGTGTTTGTTCCTCGCCCAGCCTATGGGTTGACTTGCTTACCAGCCTGTAGATTGGGGCTGTCTCCGGCGGTGTCGACAGTACCGTGGCTGCGAAACTGATGAAGGAAGCCATCGGCGATCGATTCCACGCTATTCTTGTGGACACCGGTAGGCAACATTTCAACAGGCATAGAATCATTCTCTAATTCTCTCCCTGCAGGTCTGATGCGTCTGAACGAATGCCCGCAAGTCAAGGAATCTTTGGCGGAGCATCTCGGCATCAACCTCACGATTGTGGATGGGTCCGAGCTCTTCCTTAGCCGTCTTGCCGGGGTTCTCGAACCGGAGGCCAAGCGCAAGATTATCGGCGGGACTTGTAGGTTATGCTGTAGGAAGCCTACTGGTATTTCATACTGACTCGGGCAGTCATCGACCTCTTTGAGATTGAGGCACTCCGGTAAGCTAGAATCTCATCAAACTCGGCCACAGACCTATGGAGAGCTAAAATGCCGCGCCCTCAGTATTGAGAAGGAAGCAGAGCACACGGCTCTTGCTGGCAAGGTCGAATGGTTCCTCCAAGGTACCCTCTACGGTCAGCTATGATATCCATTCACTCATTCAGGGGGTTAGAGTAGCTAAACTTCGCGCAGCCGATCTCATCGAGAGCCTCAGCTTCAAGGGCCCGTCAGCTACAATCAAATGTACGTCTAAGCACTCCTTGATAAGTCCTTTGGACAAGAGTTTTCCATATATACCCATCTCCACAATCTCATAACCACCATGTTCCCGAAGCTACTTGATAGGGCTGAAGGGGCCCTAGAATCATTGCTAACACTCTGTCAGCTCACCACAACGCCGGCGGACTCCCCGCACGGATGCAAAACGGCGTAGGTCGCATGATGCGAGGCTCGTGGAGATGGAGGCTAATGTACATAACAGGACGCGCAGCTCAAGCTGCTGGAGCCCCTCCGAGAGCTGTAAGTCCATGGCCGATGCCTCTTATCGCGGTTTCTAACATTTTGTCACAAAGGTTCAAGGACGAGGTGAGGAGCTTTGGCCGCCAGCTGGGAATCCACGAGGATCTCATCATGAGGCATCCGTTCCCCGGACCTGGCCTCGGCGTGCGCATCATAGGAGACATTACAGCCGAAAAGGTCGAGATCACGAGGAAGGCCGATTTCATCTTCATGACAATGATCAAAGAGGCCGGCATCTACAACGAGGTTCGTAACAACGGCCCGCCGTTCTCGAGGCGAGACGCTAACACACGACAGATCACCCAAGCCTACGCTGCGCTTGATTCGAACAAGGGTGTGTATCCTGTCTTGCCCTTTTACTCGAACAAAGCTGTCGTATCAAGCACATCTATCCATGGAACATTTGCTAACTGGAGTTTGTGCTGTAGCCGTGGGCGTGCAGGGAGATTCCAGGGTGTACGGGTACATCTGCGTGCTGAGAGCTGTGACCAGCTTGGACATGATGAGCGCTGAGCCGTACGAATTCTCGTGGAGCTTCCTCAAGGCCGTCAGCAGGCGGATTATCAACGAAGTCGACGGCATTGCAAGGGTTGTTTACGATACGACCTCGAAGCCTCCCGGTAAGACGGTCTCTCGCTTTTCTTTGTACATGTTTTTGGACGCATGCAATACTGACCACCGCAGGCACGATCGAACTGGAGTGACGAGCTGCTCGTATAGTTTGAATAGAGTTATTTCTTCGCTGCGTTCTAGACATGCCACTGCCCTATGTTATGTAAAATCTGATGTATGAGACACGAAACGTATGGTGGTGGCAGGGCACAGCGTCGTCAACAAAGTCAGGAGACCTCCGTAACAGCTCCGCAGTATACAATGTAGGTCTCGGCAACCACCTCACCTTCAGCGCATTCAACCATGGCAGCGACACTTGGACACGGATTATGGAACAGCCGGCCTGATTGGCACCAGGGCTCCCGTCTGGCAGAACCGTTTCCATCGCACATGGTCTGCAGAACATGCACGGTTGCCCTTCCACTACGCTCCTACTGAGCTGTGGCTGTGCTTGCTTGCACTGGTCGAGCCGGAGCAAAAGCAGCAAGGGCGCTAACCAGTTCAGTCCAGCGTTGTGGGTGCCAGTCTCACAACGAACCCGTTCATATGGATGGATAAGGCAGAAACGCCGAGCTGGGGCGCGCAAGGCTTACTGGCGATCATAGGTCGAGGATGGCGAATCAGAATCCTAGGCGTTGGTAAAGGTTGCGAGGCGTCATCGCGACGTTGGGTGAGGTGTCCCGTTGATGGTGTGGTCAAGCAGGCGTTGTTTCTCACCGCAAGAGGCTCAGATAAGATCAGTGGGAACTAACTGACGAGTACTTACATATCATCAGTGTGGCATTCTGAATGCCACAGCGATGAACAGTCTCTCGTGGTCCAGAATATCACGGGAGGGTGGGAGTGGCAACGGACATGTCGAAATCCGTTCTGGTCACAGTTGTCATGTATAGGATGAATTGCACGAGACGATGTGCCTCCGGAAAAGAAGCTCGACAAGCGAACAATACGAAAGGCTTCCCCCCAAGTCAAACGTTTTCTGAAGATCAACAATGACCCTGTGAGAAGAGGCAGGAAGATGATAGGAGAGGCAGGTATCATGGTGAGACGACTCAGAGGGGGCGGTATGCTCAAAGTCGGCATCTGCGGCGGTTCGCCTTGTCCTCTGCAGGCATGTCTTCGCCGCCTGCCTGGCAGAACGACCTACCCGATGTGCCGCTTTGCTTCAAACCTCTCCCTACCTTACGCTGTTGGCGCCAACGCCCAGAGTGCATGATGGTGGTTGCATAGTGTAGTGCGACCCAAGCCGCGTGGCCGAGCACGTATTGGAATGCAAGCTTGCGGGTCGTCCCATGGTGTTTGACACACACGATAGGGCGCTTGTTGAATAATGGCATCCGACAGCCCCTTTTACCAGGACGTTGCTCACATGAAGCTCGGGACGGCAGTATTTCGCTTATCAGATCGATCTCAATACCCTCAGACGGCAGGCGGTATACCTGGCAGGACAGAGGAAAAAGAAACGAGGAGAGCATGGCTCTTTTGGTCCAAGTTCAATCGGCCGATCGAATCCTGCCGTGGTCGGGCTGCAATGCCCGCCCGCACCACATCAATCAATCGTTCTGGTGGACTTGGCATGGCCTCCAACATGCAGCCCCTCGCCAAATCGCGAGCTCTGATTCGAAACCTACCCCAACAAGAGGGCTCAATCACCTGAGGGAGATGGTGTTCGAATTTCGATTTTGACTGGTGCGTGTGCGTTTTGATTCAGTGATGATGTCGCCCTGCACGGCTCGAAGACTGTCGCCTGACGTTGTACACCGTCCCTCTGCCTGCCAGCATCGTTACCCCCCCCCCCCCCAACGAGCCAAGGTCGTGTCTTCTCTGCGCCCCCTCGATTCCTCCGTGGGCCCTACGCACGCTGTCATGATCCCCGAGCCGGAAACCGGGCGGCTGCTCGCCGACGCAGGTGTCTGCTCAATCCATGCAAACAATAGGGCTGACAATTGCGAAACCGTGAACAACGGCCCCGATAACAGCACCCACATCGAGCTCAAGGATCCCATCATCAACGTTAACATGGTAGTAAACATCAACCATATACCGTCCGAAAGCACCGACTCCCGCGTGTCCACTGACGGGCACCAATCGGCGCCGGGACGACCCCTAAATGCAGACCGGCCTACTAGTCGCCGAGGAGCTGCGAATCAGAGACAGCAGGAGAAGACCAAGAAGATGGTGTGGTGTCCGTTGTGCAAGTACGTGGTTGATGGGTTAAAGAAGCGGGCCGCTCGCTACCTCCTTTTCCGATTCCAGACTTCCATTCGTGCGGCGCTGCGGATACTGACGCGGAACTACCCCCCCTTTTAGGTTGCGCGGTTTACTGGCCTCGATTCTTCTCTGCATGGCGACTCGGGTACAGGGGACCGACCGACCGACCAACTGATTGGAGACCCCATCCTCTCGACACGACGTGAAGAATAGATAAAAGGAGGGGAACGTGAAGCAGAACATGGTGCGGGTGATGGTGATATGGGAAGCTTCATCTTATAGGATGGTGCCAGCCAAGCCTTGGGTCAAGGGGAATGACAGACACCGGGCATGTCGTGTTCAGCGCCTGTCAGTCAAGCAAGGTAGAACGGAACGCCGAACCCCTGAACCAAGTACTGTCGCACCCGATATGTGGTCGACAACGGAACCACGTGTCTAAGCCGAGTCGTGTGTGTGACATGCCCCCCTCCTGAACTGCCGTTCCGCCCCAAGGAGACAGGGGGATGCCCTGGAGCGAGCACTCTTCGCAGTAGGCTCTCATAATAAGTGACTGGATGCCGACCTGTTGAAATGCCCGGTTGGGATGCCCTTCCTCTATTCGTTCTCCTGTGACAGAAGCCAAAGAAGCGGCTGGGCATGGCTGAATCAGCCACTCCTGATGAGCTTCTCGGCCTGACCGCCAGATCACCATCGCAGCAAAGGGGAAAGGTACGCTTCGCACGTGCGACTACACCGCTGGAAGCCAAGCATTCCAGAACACATGACAAGACACGCAAAAAAAGAAAAAAAAAAGGGTTTCATACTCAGCTATTGCTATCATGAAACCTTACACATCAGATATCCTTCACAAACCCAACCTCGACGACCTTGTCCATCGCCAATCTCAAGCTCGCAACCTTGGCGCGTGTGTTGGACCTGATCCACAAGAACGTCCACAACATGACCCTGCGGAAGACATTGTGGCTCTTTAGAATCCGCATCTGCCCCTCGCCGACTACGTAGAGCACCTTGCGCTGGTACGCGCTCTTTAGCAAGGCGAGCTCCGACGCCGTGGTCTGGACAGGGCCAGCCGGAATCTCTGCACCTGGGTGGTCTCCCGACGCAGGCGCCTGGCGAGCGACAAACTTGCGTACCTGTTCATAAATGAGAGCACTGAGATCCGGGCTGACGACCTCGTCCATGAAGCCGTGACGAACGATGAGGCGGTAGCACCCGGGCACGCTCGAGAACCTCGAAACATGATAACGCTCAGCGTCGGGCACGGAAGGCGTCTCGACGGGGTGCAGGTGGAAGAAGACAGATACTTCTGGCAGTGCGCCGAGCTTTGAGACGAAGTGCGTGAAGACACTCGGCGTCAGGATGCCCGTCTTGTCGAAGAAGACAACGAAGCCGCTGACGGGCGACAGTGCGTCGCCGCCCCATTGCGGCGTCAGCGCCAGGATGCCCTCGCCGTTGCGGACGAGCAGTCTACTAGGCGCGAAGCGGTCCTCAGCCTCGGCACTCCACTGCCTTTCCTTGCCAAAGCGCCAGAGTAGAAAAACGGTGGCGAGGATGCCTGACAGCAAGAGGGTGAACCAAGCGCCGAGGGGCACCTTTGTCAGGGCCGAGGATAGATAAAGGCCGTCGTGCGTGGCGAAGACAAGTGCAGGTACAGCGACTAACCAAAGCGGGAGATCCCAAACGAAAAGGGCGACGAGAGTCACCATAATGGTGTCGAAGAAGGTGACAAAGATGACGCAGACGCCGTAGGCATGACCCAGCCTCGTGGTGTTATTGTAGACGGCTGTAACGAGGATGGTGCCGAGCATAAGCAGCCAGTTGAGGAATGGCACATAGACCTGGCCATGGAACTTTCGGGAGGTGTGGACGACCTTCATCTGGGGACAGAAGGACAGCTTCATGAGCTGGCTTGAGAGCTGCTTATTGTTAGCACTACATCAGGGACATGTACCTTGTGAATGTGGCGACCTACCTGGAACGTCGCTGTAATGATGGCCTGGGATGCCACAATGGCTGCGAGGACTGCGAGCACCAGGCTGGGGTACAGCATGCCGGGAGGCACTGTATTGAAAAAGGGGTTCGAGTACTTCTCAGGCATCTCAGCAATGTGCGCAGCTTGACCACTGTATGCCAGCAGCAGGCAGGGGTAGGCCCAGGCGAGCCAGCTGATCTGAATGGCGCGCATGCTGAAGGCTCCCAGATCAGCGAAGAGGGCCTCTACACCGGTAAAGGAAAGGAGCACGCCTCCTAGCATCCTCCATCCATCTGTCTTGTTGTCTTTGAAAAATTGGATGGCATAGTATGGGTTGAAGGCCTTGAGGACTGTGTAATCGTACTTGACAAGGTTGTAAATACCAAACCCGCCGTTGAAGCCGAGCCACAGGATGACAATGGGTGCGAAAGCCGACGCCAGCTTGGTGGTGCCAAGTGGTTGTACGAGAAAAAGAAGGACAAGAATACCACAGGTGGTTCCCACAATGGTCGAAGTATCAATGTCTGGCTTGACTACGGCGAGGCCTTGTATAGCGCCGAGCACGGATTGAGCCGGCGTCAGGACACCATCGGCAATGACCATGGCCACACCCAGAGCACCAAGTACTTTAAGGAAGTTTCGAATGATGGTGCTGCTCTCAACGACCTTGCGGATGTTGCGACTCATGGGGCGTACATCTTGTGTCAATGTTCGTTCCATGCGGACGGTGACTTCTTCGCGAGGGTCTCGGTTCGAGATATTCATCTATGAATCGGGTGTGAGCAAGTCCAACCCAATTACAGGAGGCAATTAGATAGCATACGTATCTGGTGAGCAGGGAGTAGGTGCTAAAGGTACCACCCTCGCCCTCATTGTCGGCACGGAGGATGATGAAGACGTATTTGAAAGTGACCATGATGGCCAGGGACCAGATGATCAGAGAGAGTACTTGGGTTATGTCCTTCTTTGAGGGTGGCGAGGTGAAGACGGATGAATAGACGTAGAGAGGGCTGTTCCCAGGTCAACCTGCGTTCTGAAGCCAGCAACTACCACGCGTGATCCTACCTTGTACCAATATCTCCATAGATGACGCCGATAGACTGGTAAGCCAACCTCGAGGCCAGTTAGCCATCAAGAACAAACATGATGCAGTCGGCATACATACCATAGGAGGGCGCGGCCCTTGAAGACTTGCTTCCTCTTGCCATCATTTTGGTGCCAGTCGCCATCGTCGCCAATATCAACCTCAACGTTGTCGCCCTGAGACGCGCTACGACGCGCGAGACCGGTACGGTCGAGATCTCTTCCGTAGAAGACTCCTCCAGCAATTCCAGTGCTAGACCCTACATGGGCTCTTTTGTCGCTCTTTGCATTCCCGACGTCCTCGTCGTCGGTCTGCTTCTCTGCGGGAGCCATGTCGGGAAGATTGACACTGTTTGAGATGGGAGGCACAAGAAATAAGAGAAAGGAGGTCGATCGAAGCGCGCACGAAGGTGAGGGGTCAGAAATAAGAGTCTAAAATTTTTCCTGGCAGAGGGCACAGCCTGGCTCAAATACGCGCTGCAAGGCTTGAAATCCCGCGATACTGGAACCGCTTCTGACACAAGAATGCCCTGCCTCGAGGGCTGGTGGGGGGTCGCCGTGGATCTAGGCCAACAGAAAACATGGGCATCCAGGTCCTTCACGCGCCGGCCACGCCCTTTCCAGGCTTCATGTGGGACAGGAAACGTGGGCATGCCTGGGTCTTGCGGGCGCACCAAGGCCCACGAGAAAGGGATATTTGCCGTGGCAGATACCGACCAGGTCGTGACGGGGAGATTTGACACAGGCTATGTCATTGCTTGATGGCGGGCTAGCTCAGCGCGTCCAGACTACGACACTGTGCGAGACTGTCTCGAGGACAAAGACGTCGAGGTAGATCTGCTGTGTCGTAACGAGGCCGTTGTACATCGATGCTCGCACGTAGCGGCCAGGAGAAAGCGTCCTTGGGTCGTCATCTGTCAGGGTCCACGACGGGCATATCAGAGGGAGCACAGGCAGGACCAATGGGAAGATATGGCGCATAGCAAAAGCTGTCATGGAAATGTGTTGGTGCGGGCGTCGGGCGGCCTTCGACCACTCGGGATAGCTTGCAACTCTGGCTGGGTTGGGAGGGTGCCGATGCCGTGGTGGGCATGGGATGGGAGGCAGTGCAATGGGCGACCTGAATGCGGATAGCTCGCACAGCTCGGTCATGGTGGTTTAAGGACGGGCATGTGCCCTCGAGCTTGAGGTCCAGAACAAGCTTTTTAGCGCATCGGGACGGGCTATTCCAGGCCAACCACAGCGCCTTAAGCCGTGTAAGCGGCTTGGCGGCCTGAGCTCTGTCTGCGCTTTGCCTGGCAGCTGTCTGCCAGTTGTGCCCGCCCACACGACGCCTGGTTTCTGGCCGATGCAGATGCATTACTGCCATCACTTCCTCAGTCAGATAAGCTGCTGTGCACGAGGAGGTAAAAAAAAGAAAAAAGAAAAAAGAAAAAAGAAAAAAGAAAAAAGAAAAAAGAAAAAAAAAACAATCCTTCTCAATCATTCGCCGAATCATGTGAGAACTGCAGAGGACACGACCGTGAACTCGTATTCTTTCCCCTTTTTACAACACCCTTCAGAATGGGGGCGTACGAGGAAGAGGAGTAAATTTTGGCGCCATACCACACGCTATTTTCAACGGAAGAGGGTCGACTTGCACCATGTGCTCAACCTAACCGTCGTTGCTGGTCAAGGGTCCATTATATTTGACTTTGAAAACGTATCCTGCGTCTCGAACGAGGGACAACAACAACAAAAACCTTCAACCGAACCGGTCCCCGCCCACATAATGACCCAGCCCAAGCACTCGCTTGTGAGCACAAATCCGAACGCGAAGAAAACCACCGGCCTGGTACGGTGACGTCGAGACGAGGATCGTCGTTTTGGGTGACGCCGTCCAGGCGACAACATCTTCTGGTCTCGGGTTGAGGCGGGGTCATGTAGGTAGCTAAGTGTGTGAGAAAAGGCTGTGGTCGATGGCCGAGGTGAGTCGGGTCAGGTGCCGGGCCTGGTGCCGCCTTTTTACTCCGATGAGCAGAAGCCCCTTACCATGGAGCTGCGGCACTCCTTGCCCTCATTGTACAGATCATCAGTTTTTCCCCGACCCATATTGGAGGCCAGAGGCTCGCGAGATCACTACTACAAGACACTTGATTTTTTTCGACCTCTGTCCACGGAAGCCACAGAGAGAATAGTAGCATCGTAATTCGCTTGGCCGGGGTTGCACGGGCTGGCGGGCAAGGGTTGAGCGTGCGCAATCACGGCTAACGCTGTGTCATGATCAATCAACATGACGAGATTCAATTCGTTCCAAGACTTGTTCAGCTGAGGGGCAAAGTAGGGAAGGAAGCAAGAGGATGGACGTGTAAGGAGTGGTGAGCTTGCTGGCCAAGGAGGGTTCCAATTGTCGACCCTGGTCTTTGTCATCTGAGCACTACTGATCTGGCATCATATACTTCATGGGAAAACATGATGAAACATCACGAACAACATTCATGCAATCTGTGACTTCTATTGTCATGGTGAATGTATTGTCTTTTGGATCCGAGTGGGGACACCTGATTGCTAAAGCTGTGTTGAGCTCCACGCTAAAAGCAGCGAGGCATCCCTCCTTTCCTCTGTGATGTCAGCACCATGGGCAGCTCAGCAACCCGACCAATGGAGGGGTACCTGTCAGAGGTACTCGTCTTGGCGGGGCAATCATGCAACATCATCATTTGTTGAGATGGGCAAATATCGGCTCTGCGGGCAGCAGTCAGAACGACTCTCGAATGAGATGTGATCAAGCTGACCAGGTTCAACTGCATCCCGAGTGACGTCCCAAAGCTATACGCAGGCGGCATTCCCCAGCGCAGAGCGTCTGATGCACGCACGACCAAGGACTCGTTTGCATCCGATGCGCGGCGGACGAGATGAGCTCATGAGGAGGTCCTGCGAAAGTGCCTCCCTAACAGCAACCAGTGTTCCCACATGTTCCCCGCTGCGGGATCAACCCGGGGCGGGACTTTAGTCAGTTTGCTCGTTACGCCTGCCCTATGCTGAAATTTGGCGGTGGGTGGGTTTGCCTTGGGTTTGGGTTGGTGTGGCCCCCGCCATCCCAGGCGACAGGAGGAGAGGACCCGACTCACAGCAGCCCCTCGCCAGTCAGCCCGTCGTGCTCGGTTCGGTAGAGAAACAGGAAACATCAACAACCTCGACCTACTACCTAACTCTCTCCCCTACTTTCCCCCAAGCGCGTCGCCCTATCGTGTCGCATCTAGACTCGCTGCATCTCCTCGCCTCATATTTTCAACATGTCCTGGCAAGGTCTGTCCCCTCCTTTTCTCCCCTCTTCGAAACAGCGCGCAGCAACCCCCCACCTTCGGCAGTCTGCTCGTCATTTTATCTCCCACCCCCCCCCTCTCCTCTTCCGCCCATTGAGAACCCATGAAGCTAATCGTCATCTGTCACAGCTTACGTTGACACCAGGTAAATTCTTGCACCTCGTTCTCGTTCGCGTTCACGATCATCCAACCTCTCACATTATAATTCTTGGCAACTCGTCAAAGACATGGAAGCTGATCTCTCCTAGCCTGGTTGGCACCGGCCACATTGACAAGGCTGCCATCGTCAGCATCGCTGGCGACAGCGTCTGGGCTACTTCCGCCGGCTTCACCGTCTCGCCCACCGAGATGAAGGCCATCGCTGACGTCGTCACCGCCAAGCCTGGCGCCGCCGACAAGGCCTTTGGCGACGGTCTCTACGTCGCCGGCGAGCGCTACGTCATGGCTCGCGCCGAGGACGGCACCATCTACGCGCGCAAGGTCAGCAGCACCCCAGGCGCTCCCCTCCGGAGCAAATGAGTCCATCCACGTTGAGAAGGAGAGGTTTTTCTGACATGGACTGTGCGTGTAGGGCAGGGAGGGCATCGCCATTGCCAAGACGAACCAGGCCATCCTCATCGGCCACCACGGCGAGGCCGCCATCGCTGGCAACGCGAGCGCGGCGGTGCAGAAGCTAGCTGACTACCTCATCGGCCTCAGCTACTAAAGCGTCTGTTCAGCGTGCGAGCGAGGAAGAATCGGGGGGGGTTGCGAGGCGGCGGAGGCCACGGCCTGCCGCGCAAGACATGAAGGGCGGTGGAGGAGGACAGGCGAAGGACAGGCGGCTTCCGTGCTGCATACTGCAACGAGTCAACGACCATTAGACACAAAGGAGAGGACGACCAGTGACGCGGCGGTGGATCTGTACTTAGGCGGTTAGCCATCCCAATGAAACCATGCGCGAAACTTCCGGAAGGCTCCTTGTGCGCGGGCCAGGCCTTCGTCAGTGATACTCATCGAATTGAGGGGACGAAGTAGTTAGTTGTTTGGAATGCCCTCCAACACCATCATGAGGCAAGCTATAGGCCGTACAAGGTGCCGATCTAATGACCCATCGTACATTCTTGTATTTTTACAGGCAAGTGCCTCTTCCAGGCAGCCGAACAGACGCCATGATTTCCCTCAACGCCGCCAAGGCCTCCTGCATACAGAGGTCGCTCTGGTGTGTAGGCGCCCCAATGTCCGTGCCCAGCAGTTCCCACTGCAGGTTTAATAAAAAAAAACCGAAGCCAAACCCCTAGGTCTATAAACTTTTCGCGCAAAGGTCGGAACAATAGTCCTACACGGGCAACTCGGCGTTCCGCCTGCCCATACCCGCCTTGTCGACCAGCATCCCAATATAAGGCCCAATCACGGGGATGCTCCGCGCGAAGCTGCCGATCGTGCCCAGGAAGTCCCCGAACAGGATCAAGATTCCGTACAACTCAATGCAGAAACCGATCAGCGGCCACCGGAACAAGATCAGCAGCAGGCCCAGAAAGAACGCCGCCGTGCCCTTGGCTTTTTGTTTCCGCGCGAAGAAGAGGAGAGTCTTGTGGGGGCCGATGATGATGGTGAGGCCGATGAGGAAGAGGATCTGGATTCGTCAGTCGCTTGTTGGGGAGGCATGGGAGCCGCGGGCAGGGTAGATAGCTACATTTCCCATGGCAAGCCTGCACACGCAAAGTTAGCGTCGCACGTGCGCGATGAGCGGTTGGGGGGTTTGCTCACATGGCTCTGTCGAAGAACAGCATCACGCCTCCGATGAGGAAGAAACCTCCTGTGAGCTTCGTCAGACCATCTGCAGACGCCGCGCTGCTCTTGCTAGTCAAAACCTACCGCCGGAGCAGAACGCAACACCAATCTCTGTAGGCCAGGTCAGCGTTCGTCTCAGCAATGTGGCCGGCCCTGCGGTGGCGGTCGCGTCTCGCGCTCCCTGCCCCTCGTAGCATCGCGGGCGCATCACGTACTCTGCGAATCCGATAACCACATGGTCGACATCTTGGCGGGTCCTCTTGAAGATCTATCGGCGGGAGATTCGGGGTTTCGTTATCGAGGTGATAAATGGCTTCGGCGAGGATACAGACGCAGTTATGCAGATTCTCGTCGCGTTCGCAAAGTGGGAGCCTGGGACAATGTTCTTGACCTTGAAGACAGATCTCCAGGGGAAGCTGCCCTTTTTCGACATTCCTTATCGGAGCCCCTTGCTGGGAGCTAAGGGGCAGGTAACAAGGGGGTTGAGTGACCCCGGTAGGTACATGATTGCAAAGTTGAGATTATTAGGACTCATGCAGATATAAGCCGGACTTGTAGAAGCCTTGATCATAATAAATATCACAAAGTACTCGCTAGTGATGATTAGATCTCATAGCTAGACAGCTTGTTGGCGTATTCGTTTGCGCACGCTGGTCGAATGGTGAAGCATCCATGTCACTTAACAGTAGTAGTCTGCTACCGGGCTTCTGTGGTGGGCACTGCCCAATCAATTTAAATCACGAGCGAAAATCGTGTTCCCGCTGTGGCCTGTTTCTTACCTCCCGTCTTAACTCAAAAACGTAACACGACAACTCACATTCCAGGCAGGCAGCATTGGTTTACTAGAAGAGTTTCCTCCGGCAACACTCCAGTCTTAGCCTTACAGCGACTTGGAGCCAGCGATGGACTCAACCTGCAAAGCCGATGAAAACGAGTCCTCTTATGACTGAGGATCGCATTGAGGCCCTGGTCTCCATGAACAGCAGCCGCTTCAAGGCTGCCCCTCAAAACTTACCCGACCAGTATTACCTTCTGTCATCCTGGGAACAAGCGCAATCTTGCTTTCCCATCCACTGCCGGGGCGACCATGGCACAAGGCCATGGTATCCGAGCGCGTTCTCCATACGTTCTCGGGCATCTGTCACATCACAGGCAAAGAGCAAAACTGTATCACGATTAAGCCGGAGCGTCAGTTAACAACCCACGGCCGAAAGGCCGCGTGTGCGTAGCTGGGGTTTGACTTTGTTGGTAAAACATATCAAGCGCGTGTGATGCTTTGTATTGTGCCTTGACCTCGCCCGTACATCTAAGGACTGCCGTGAACGCCATGCTGAATGCCCTCCATCCGTTACCCCATACCAAACAAGATCGCATGCGCCGTCTACTTCAACACCGTATGGGCGCCTCTCGCCTCGAGATACTGCTCCGCGACACCCTGCGGCAGACCTCGGATGAGCGCAAAGACCTCCATGTCGTGGTACCGCAGCCTCGTCTTGGGGTCAATATACGGCGCGGGCAGCCCCGTGATGTCGCAGTACCGCTTCGTGTGGGCCAGGGACGGCGCGCTCTCGATGTTCGTGTACGTCGCGCTGGGTGCTGCGCTCGCCGGGCCCGTCGCGCCACCTGTGCCGCCGCCTTGCTGCTGCTTCAGCGTCTTTTCGAGCACGAGCTTCGACAAGCTGCGTGATGCCTGGGCGAGGTTCGGCTGGGCGTTCGCTGCGTCGGCGGGCGTTGAGGCACCGCTGGGGGAGAGGCCGCCGGGAAGAGGCGTCGCGGCGGGAGAGTCGTCTTGAGGGGTGGCGATGGCGGATGATGAGGCCTCCTTACGGGATAGATCGGTGGAGATGGTCTTGATATTCTTGTTGCGGCGGTGGTTGGGGCGCCAGGACGGAGATCGGAAGGACTTGTGAATTGCGTGGATGTCGAGGTCATCCAGGAGTTGCTGATGAGCAATCTGAGCTTCTGTAGGCGCAGCCATCGTGTCGATAATTACGAGTTTGTTTGCAAGAGATAAAGCCTGAGGATGCGCGCCAACGGGGTCGAGTTGCAGATGGAGGTCAGTGTTCGGCGACGAGGGAGCGAGAGCCAGCACTGACGACTGGCACGAAGCTCGTACTAGCTTATTTTGCCGCCGATGACCGCCTTCTGTTTTCGTGACCTGTGATAGACCCCCCATAACAACGGTCGCTCTTGGTCGTGACACAACAAATACCAGGCCATCAACATCATACGAAGATGGTAAGTGCCTTTAGTTGCGCGCGACCCTCAAATGGAGTCCCTGACGTTATTTTAGGAGAGCCCACATGAGCATCAGCAGAACCTGCTGCTGTCGCGCATCATCGGCAATGTTGTGAGTGCCTACTGCCCCGCCTGGTTACCTGCGGGGTGATTGACAGCATGAATAGGAGAAACTGAACGAGGCCATTGTCGTCATGAACAAGTCTCTACAGGTATTCATGGCGGTACTGCAGCATCGAGTGCCCCGCCACTACTAATACGGCGCTCCTAGGACATCAATATTCAAAACATGAATGTCGAGCTGGTGGCCCAGATGTTCAAGAACTACCAGTCCAATGTTCTTTTCCATCTTGAGGGTAAGGTTCTCCGCCAAGATATCGGCAGTGTTTCTGACCGATCTACCAGCGACGGACAATCTCAAGCCTCCCTCTTGAGATACTCGCGAACATGTGTGTTGAGCGAAGCATTTGTCTTTGGAAAGGGCAGCTAAGTGCCAACCAACTACAAATACGTAAGATTGCGATTGCGTATGTCCCGGGGTTATGGTCACAAACCATCCTACCTGTATAATGAAACACCGAAGCGCTGTGCAAGCTTCATGAGATACTGAAACCAAGATATACATTCACCGAAGGTTGCTGCGATTGGTGCCATTGTTGTTTTGCCTGCGTCCCTAGTTGTTCTCACGTTGCCGCGCTGGCGTGCCAGGCTGGCTCCAGCTACGCCAACCTGATCAACTAGATCAACCACTGCCGAGCGAGGTGCGCGAATCAATTCAATTGCATCTGCCCACAGAGCGGCGCGCTGGAACAAAGGCGCGGCCTGCGGGTGTTCTTTCGAGAATGGGCCTTGTAGGCCGTTTGAGTAGACCCACGGCAGGCGGCGCTGTTTGATATCCTGTCGTTCCAGAGGTTTCTGTGGTAGGAGCGGTTGCTGTGGACTTTGAGCTTAAGCAACCCATGCTACACCGATGCAGAAGAAGAGCTGCGTTCTAGTCTGGCGTGACTTCTCACACAGAACGTCTAGTGATGTGAAGACGAGGTCAGGAGGAGGTTCAGCATGTGGATTCCAAGGGGGTGCATTAGTGGGAGCGGGTCTGTCGGGTTGGGCGTGGGTCAAGGGCCTTCGACCCTGCCGGGACCTCACTGTGGCAGGTACCTAGGTACCCAGTACCTACTGTGGCAGGCACCTAGTCCAAGAGGACTGACGACGCGGGAGCTCGACCGCGACGCATCGCCAGACGACAAACCGTATTCCGCCTGGTCATACAGAAACGAAGAGCAAAGCGCAACCACCCTTGCGTCGCCAATTGGCCCACGGATCTTCTCCCATCACCCATGCCAACTCAACGAAAGCCTTGTCAGCCTCCATCCACCCGATAACGTCTGTTGACGCAACCTCTCTACCTGTCACTCCACAGCATGACAGTGTCGACACCTTAGACGATCCTGCGCTTTCTCTGCACGCCTTTCATCCTCGCCGGCTTTCCATCGAGCACACGACAGCTTCCCTTGCTGCATCCGAACGCCCTCCCCAACCCGCCAGCGCGCCATGGCGCCCTCTGCGACTGATGATGGCATTCCCGCCTCCAAACTGCCCCCGCCCAGGGAATACCCCCCAGCCAAGATCTTCCCCATGAGGGAGGCTCGCTTCGACAAGCCCATGGCCATCCAGCACGACGGCCGTGAGAAGGCTCTCTCTCGGCCTCCGGGCACCTCCGCCATTGTCATCGATAACGGCTCCAATGCTGTCCGCGCCGGCTGGTCCTTCGAGGACAAGCCGCGCATGAGCATCCCTCCCATCATGTCCAAGTACCGCGACCGCAAAGCTGGCAAGACGTATTCCTTTGCCGGCAACGACTGCTACGCCGACGCCAACTCGAGGAGTCACGTTCGAAATGCTTTCGAGCAGGGCACTGGCATCGTCACAAACTGGGACGCTATGGAGCATGTGCTCGACTACATCTTCCTCAAACTCGGCATGAACAGCGCCGAGGGCAACATTGACATGCCCATCGTCATGACCGAGGCTGTCGCCAACTTTTCCTACGTTCGCAAGAGTGAGCATTTCCCGTTTTCCAAACTACTGCAATGCACGGCAAGCTAACGCAGACAGCCATGAACGAGACGCTCTTCGAATGCTACGGCGCCCCCTCAGTCGCCTACGGCATTGACTCGCTCTTCTCCTATCGCCACAACAAGGGCACCACCGGCCTCGTCGTCTCCTCGTCCCATACCTCGACCCATGTCATCCCCGTCTACAACCAGAAGGCCATGCTCGCCCAAGCCACCCGCCTGAACTGGGGCGGCTGGCACTCGGCCGAGTACCTCCTCAAGCTCCTCAGGCTCAAGTATCCCGCCTTTGTCGGCAAGCTGAGCCCCTCGCAGGCCGAGCGCATGGTGCGCGATCACTGCTATCTCTCTGCCGACTACGATAACGAACTGTCTGGCTACCTTGACTGGACTGGCCTCGAGGACCGCGATGTCGTCATCCAGTACCCCTATACCGAGGAGATCATCGTCGAGAAGACGGAGGAGGAGCTTGCCAAGATTGCCGAGCGCAAGAAGGAGAGCGGTCGCCGCTTGCAGCAGCAGGCTGCCAAGATGCGTCTTGAGAAGCTCATGCGCAAAGAGGAGGAGCTCGAGTACTACAAGAAGCTCCAATCCCGTCTCGAGGCCCTCACCAATAAGAAGGATGTTCGCCGCCTGCTCGACGCCGATGAGCTCAAGGACGAGGCGGCCCTCGAAAAGACGATCGCTGTCCTCGACAAGGCCGTGCGCAAGGCCCGCACCAAAGATGTCGGCGGCGAGGAGGAGGAGGAGCAGCAGGCGCCGCCCAACTTTGACCTCCTCGACGTTCCCGACGACCAGCTCGACGACGCCAGCATCAAAGCTAAGCGACAGCAGCGCCTCCTCAAGTCCAACCACGACGCGCGCGCGCGCGCGAAAGCCGAGAAGGAGGCGGAAAAGGCCCGCATTGCCGAGGCGAAACGCCTAGATGAGGAGCGCCGGGAGAACGATCTGGAGGGCTGGCTCGACGAACGCCGCCAGAAACGCGCCGACGCGCTGCTCAAGATGAAGGAGCGTGATCGTCTCAAGCAGGACCTCGGCAACCGTAAATCCCTCGCCTCGCAGTCGCGCATGAAGACCATTGCCAACCTTGCCGCCGACGAGCCCACGCGCAAGCGACGCCGTGGCGGAAACGACGACACGTTCGGTGCCGACGATGACGACTGGGGCGTCTACCGCACCATCGCCGTCGGCGACAACAGCGACGACGAGCAGGAGGAGGAAGATTTGCAGTCCAACCTCAAGTCCTACGAGCACGACCTCCTCCGCTACGACCCAGATTTTACCTACGAGCACACGCACGAGGCCCAGCTCGACTGGTCCAAGTCGATGCTCCACGCCTTTGCCCGCGGGCCGCGCCCTTTCGACACGGCGTCCCAGGCCGAGGCGAACCAGATCCACCTCAACGTCGAGCGCATCCGCGTGCCCGAGGTCGTCTTCCGGCCCTCCATCGCCGGCGTCGACCAGGCCGGCCTCGTCGAGATCACGGGCGACATCCTGACCCACCGCCTCGTCGACCAGGTCGGCGGCAGCGACGCCTTTCTGAAAGACGTCTTCCTGACGGGCGGCAACACGCTCTTCAAGAACTTTGACCAGCGCCTGCGCGACGGGCTCGCGGCACTGCTGCCGGCGGGCTCGCCGCTGCGCACGCGTCGCGCGGCAGATCCGCTGCTCGATGCGTGGAGGGGGGCCGCCGAGTGGAGCGGCGGCGACGCGTGGAAGGCGGCGGCCGTGACAAAGGCCGAGTACGAGGAAAAGGGGCACGAGTACCTCAAGGTGAGACTTTTTTTTTTTTTTTTTTTCCTGCTTCCATCTTCGTTGACAATGTGAACAATACTGACCATGTGTATGTAGGAGCATGATTTGGGGAACAACTGTCCCCCTGTATGAGTATGGCGTTTTCGGGCTGGGCGGGACGTAAAAGGGAGGGGTGTTGACAGTATTTGTTTTCTTTTTTTTTTGGGCCCCAAAAGAGCAACTTGAATTTGATTCGAAGAATCTTGTCCCCATGGTGGTTTGTCTGCAGTGATTCGCGTGTGGGGACTTGGGGAGTTCTAGAGCTGCTCACGAGTCGTCCTTTCCATTGTCATGAGGGATGTCTTGATGCCATCATTTCAGCACCGGCAACAAGCGGAGCTTCGGTCCTCCTCCATGACTTGCCTCCAGGCTACCCGGAGACAGGCCCTATTCTTGACAAGGTTCGCTCGGGACACATACCTGGCTGTGAGATGCACCAATTCCCAGACCGAAGAACAAGACTGAAGGACCATTGACACTAGTCCAAATGCCATTGTGTAAGACCATGAAGGAGACGGTTTTGGGACGGGCCTTTGCGAGATCGCACTCGTCAGAACATGAAGCCAGCAGATGACGCGTCCACCTCGATGCCTCTGTGACAAGCAGCGAAGACACTCCCAGATTCGTCATGGACGCTCAGACGTCTGTCTCTCTAGACCTTGGCTACGAGACAGTTACTCAAAATCCGGGAATGAGGGGGCTCCAGACGGGCTCCAGACGAGGAGTCCACGAAGCAGAAAGTGCAGCGCCTCGTCAGCGATCACTCGCCTTCCGAGGTTTCTTGCTCAGTGCTTCCGATATCGCGAGCATGGTGAGGGGTCGCGCAGCTTCAGATCCACGTGCTCTCGCTCTCCTTGTACGCCTGGACTGTATTTTCAGTCATTTTGAAACAAAGTCCCGATACAGTAAATCAATGCGCTGCCTCCAGCTTTGTGACAGTGGTGATCTCCCAACGCGCCATCGTCTGCAGAGCACGAAGATCGAGGCAAAATATGCATTCACAACGGCGGCAAGGCACAAGGAAAGAAATTTGGTGACATGGCGAACTGGCCGTCTTGGAAGAGCAGCGCTGACTATCAAACACTGGGTATGCCTTGCGCAAAGCCCACCCGCCCATACATCTTCTCCTGCCTCGACAGTTTTCGAAAAAGCAAGGCCCGTAGACGCAAGCGCATCCGCACTCATCGAAGACTCGAGCCCCATCTGAACCCCCCCAGCAATAGGAACGCCGTTCTCCAATTCAGTTTAGCAAATAGACAGGGGTGGGGGGGGGAGAGCACATGATCGGTCGCCCCTCAACGCAACGCCAGAACAGTATGAAAAACACGCGCAAAAAAAACATGGCAAGTGACACAAGACCACATGGTCATCTACCCCAAGTCCGGATCTGGATACTCCTACATCGAGGCGGTCGGGGCTTGCATGCTGTCATCGCGCAGCTGCGGGTCGGTCTCCATGTCCGCCTTGATCTCAACGTCCGCGTCCGGGCGATAGTCCTTGCCGCCTGGGTAGTTTTGGCGTTCGGCCATCTGTTCCTGCGCTGCGAGACCGGCGACGGCTTGCGCAACGGCCTCGAGGGGTGTGCCGACAGCCGAGTCGTTCGTTGGCGGGGGCGGTGGCGCGGTGGCGGCTGGGAGCGGCTGCTGCTGGACAGGCTCTGGCTGCTGCTGCGGCGGCTGCTGTTGCTGATGCTGCTGATGCTGCTGCTGCTGTTGCTGCTGCTGCTGCTGCTGCTGCTCAGGGACGGCGTGGGGCGGCTGCGAGCCGGGAATAGCGTCGGTGCCTTGGAGCTGATGCGCCGGGGGACCCTGTGCGAGGTGAGGCGGTGGGGGCTGGTTGAGGTTGACGTTGGGCGGGGGCTGGGGGTATTCGCCTTGGGTATCAAGCATGCGCGACTGTAGGTGGATGACGTATTCGCGGAGCGCATAGCTCTCTGACTGGAGCTGCTTATACTGGGACTCCATCTCCATAAAGTCACGAACCTGCTGCTCGAGCTTCTTGATGTAGCCCTCTTTTCGTTGGCGGAAAGCTCGCTGTGCAGGGTGTTAGCATGTGGCGTGCACTAGGGGCCCAATGCGACGCGCGCAGGCATGGCGACACGACGTACCTGAGCGGCCCTGTTCTGGGCGGCGCGCTTGGACTGGGAGAGTTCGCGCTTCGCCTTGCGGCCATCGGCTGACCCGTCGTCGATGGACATTGGATCGCCGCCGACATCAGGGGCGGGATGAGGTTGGATTTGCTGCATGGGAGGCGGCGCAATGGAGGGGCCGGCGGGCGGTGCGCCGGGTGAGACGGCAGGAGGGGGCATAGCGGAGGCCATCATGTTGGTAGCGGGTGGTGCAAAGTTGGTTCGGGCCCTGAGGTCTGGGTGAATATGGGCTTCCGGGTCGTTGTTGCTGTTGCTGTTGTTGTTATTGCTGGCGGGCAGTCCGTCTGGTGCAGGCGAAGACGCGCCGTTGGCATAACCGTGAGTCGGCTGGCCGTTGGGAGGCTGCTGGGGACCGCGAGGTTGCGCGCCGGCGCCGTTGGTGGGGTTCGATGCGCCGAGCGTGCTCAAGATCTCGAGTTGGTGTCGAAACTGGCCGTCTGCAAGGAGCGAATGTGTCAGCAAGGTGGGGGGGGGAACACAAGGAGAGAGTCGATGTGACAAAAGAGTGGATGGATGATGATGGCTTAAGTAAGAGGAGCAGACAGGTCCAAGGTTGTTCGCGTCGTTCGCAGCTTGGGGGGTGGGGAGGAACAGTAGGGGGGGTGTAATGGGAGATGGGTGTGCAGGGCCACCATCAGGGCAAGAGGGGAGGAGGGGGACAGAGGATGGCGGCCGGGCTTCCGGGGGTCGACGCGCCGTCGACGGTGGATGTACTAGTCATCTTGCCGCATGGGAGATTCGGCGACATCGCGCCATGTTCTGCAGAGGACTGCTGCAGAGAACTGCTGCAGAGAACTGCTGCAGAAGAGGGGGCAGACCAACAGCCAGAGTCGATGCTGTGGTCGTACAGGAGGAGAGAGGTTTTGGGTTCGGGGGTCTGGGCTCTGCTTGCTGCCTGCCTTGAAGGGTGATGAAGATTGGGGGGGGGGAAGCAGGGCCGTGGGTGCAGCGCTGTCAGCGGCCCCAGGCAACGCGAAAGCGCGACCAGAGAGCGACGGCTCTTGTGGGGAAAGAGGGATTGCGCGTTCCGATGGCAATAGCAGATGACATGGCAAACGATCGTAAAATTACAAAATAGAAGGGCAGACAGGACCGATGGTGTTTGATCATGATGGTATGGATGGATGAATGGATGGAAAGAAATGGGTTCCGTTCACGTACCTCCTTGATGATGAGCAGACGGGTTGGTGTTGTTGCTGGATGATTCCGCAGGCGATGCGCTCTGCGGCGGCTGCTGCTGCAGCTGCTGCGGCGGCGGCGGCGGCGATGATGGCTGCTGCGATGGCTGCTGCATGGTCGGCGCGCGCGTTCCAGAGACGAAGAACACTCTGAGTCAGCAAGCACGAAGAGAGAGACGGAGAGGGAAAGCGACGATTGATGACTGTGACGGATGGGGTCGGAGGGTTGATGACTACAGCAGGTCGAGGGGTGTTGATTATAAAGACAAAAAAAGACGCGATGGCGATGGACCCGTCAGAACGCCCGACGGCTGTCCCTTCTGGCGCAGAACAGAGCTAGTGCGTTGCGGGTTTTTGATGAGGCGTGCCACCCGACCAATGGGCGTGCCTGGTGACTGATACCGATCCGGCAGTTCCTCGGTTCCGGTTTTAGGTAATGGCAATGGCGCTGCTGCTGCTGCTGCTGCTGCTGCTGCTGCCGCCTCTGCTGCTGCTCTGGTGCTCTGTGTCGCATGGAGGAAAAGCCCAGGAATGTAAAGGGTGGCTGGCCTGCGCATTAGATGGCATGGCGTCTTCGTCTTTGTCAGACGCCCAGGCCATCGCATTGGCCATCTACAAGCGAATCGTGTCATGCCGACACCAACAAAGTACTCCCTGACTACCTTACCTACCTAGGTAGGTACCCAGTGACATGAATCGAGCTTCATCTTCAGCGTCTGCCTGGTGGAACTATCGAATCGACAGACGTTCCCGACAGCAAGCAATCCACATTTCCTGGGCTACGTTGACGTCTCTGCTGGTCAAGATCCGTCAGTCGTCCCTCAGGTGGCTTCGAGTTGTGGGAGTGATGCGCTGCATTTGTCAGCAGTAGGCCCAAGGTAGAGCCAATGAGATGCCTCAATCATGGGATCTTGTCCGCAAAATAGCCTGAGCCGAGACTGAGCTGCGCGGAGCGAAAATTCTGTGGCTTGGTTTGTACAGCTGAGGTCACTCCCCGTAGGTAGGTGGGATATCCTAACGGGAATGCATTCGGGACGGTGTCTGATCATACATAAGCATGCCGGGGTATCTCTAAGCCAGCCAAGGTTGCGGTAAGCTTTACAGCGTAGTATACCCATCACAAGGCCAGCATTGAAACTGCAATCCAACATCACCCAGCGTCATCTCGTGGGGCTGACTATGATATGCACGTCGCAACAACTGCAAGAGCCTCGAATCATCATAAGCATTCAAGAAATTGGCCAAGAAGCTGAGCCGCGCCGTATTCTTACCAAAGCCGAGTTCCAAGTCACCCATCCACCAGTATTTCAATTCCCCAAGCGACGTCCCTTCGTCCCTGTCTCGAAAGCGGACCATCAGATCGCCACCATCGAGAGTTTGATCTGCCACCGTCGCCCCGCCCGCCCTATGCCTGAAGCTGTTGGCCATCGCCGATGGACATAACACAGCTCCTAATAAAACGTGCTTCTCACAACAACATATCCCGTGTCGCTCTCATCTGCAACAAAATGATAGGGCTGTACGATCAACTTTCAGTCTGAGCTCCGGCGCCTTTCTGTTTCGTTGAAGATCATTGGGCTGGCGGCCATTGGCAAAGCTAACATGACGTTGACATCAGCCTCGTTGATCAACTGAAGAGATTACGAAGAGCTTTAGGTGAAGCAGCATGGACAACATACACTAGACCCTGTGTATGCGGTGAGGGTTGTTTCGTTGTCCAATGAGGAATGTACAACATCATTGTTGCTCCATTGCTAAAACCAGCGTTCGTAGGCGAACAAGGTTCGAATTGAGGACTGCCGCCCGAGCCGAGTACCCCAGTGGACGAAGACTAACAGAGAGGGGTGCTAGTGTGCTGTAAGTGCTCGAGACTGGTCTTGGCCGCGATTTTGATTTGAGGCTGACAGCGTAACTCAGGTCGGTGAGACGGCAGACTGGTGTGGATGAGCGATATCTCAACATGCCGGAGACAGCGACGTCGGTCGACATAAAAGATCTTGTGGAGGATTGACAGCCAGACAAGAGGCTACGTCACCGTGCCGAAGCATGAGTTCGGAACAGAAATTGGGCGTGGGAGGGGAAGTCTAGAAGTCGATATTCGAAGGAGTCGTCCTAAGGGAGAAGCTGCGGTGCCAAGAGATGGGCCAGGCGATGAGGGAACGAATAGGATAGAGTCGAAGGTGAGAACCTGGAGGACAGGAGATGTTGTTTGAAGGATCAGAATTGAAAAGTCGAAGAGCAGCGATGTTTCAATGTCAGGAGAAAGATGTGATGGTTTGAAAGAGAGAGAGAGATGAAGACACGAGAGACGGCAGATGGGAGACAACATATCGCCATGAGGGGCTATGTTGATGGCTCTTTCCGACGCACTGCGATATACACAACTCACAGATCTAGAAAGTGCGAAGGCCACTTGCCTGCTCTTGACAAGACTGTTTTGAACGAAAATCACGCGAAGTATTTGCCCGTACACAGAGCCTGAGAGTCGCTAAGGGTCGATGCATTGCTGGATAAATAGCTAGATGTACGACGGCCGCCCAGCGCTCCTGACTGTCATGAATATGCTCTGCACTTGCTAGACCCATACGTCAATGTTAGAAGATGTAATTAATGAGCCAGTTGCTTTCTGCATGCTCAGCCAGAACAAGGATTACGAAGATCGGCTTTGTTTACTAGAATCAGATGCCCTGTGCTACTTTCAACGCGAATGCTGCCCAGAAAACCCAGGCACCCGTCTTTTCATGAGTGGCTACCGAATATGACCTCAGAGTACTTGCGTGCATCATTTTGGGGCTTGAAGCGGAAGTTCTGTCCATTGGAGCTCTCCATGCCAAGTGTTCATCATTGGTCATCGTAGAAAAGAACAGAAGTTACCAGTTGATATCCCGCGTAGCACTGAAGAGAAGCAGAGAGGAAGGAGGGACACGAGGTGAAGCTCTTTTAAGACCAGTAGACACACGCGGACCCACTCTTCAGATGGTCGTTGCCTAGATGGCGCAAACTGATCTCAGCCCCCATCCATTAATGGACACGCGTCAGTAGATGGCCTCAAGTCTTACTGTACAATGAAGCAGCCATCAGGTACCTCTGTTCCATGTCTGACTTGACTTTTCCGTATGTGCTCTTGGCGTGTTAGCTTCTTAATGTTGCTATACTGAGCTTGGCTTTCTCGGATACATTCCACCACACCACCATAGCGATGCGCCCTGCCGATTGGCTCACCGTCTCACCAAGATCTTGTACAGAAATATCAGGCACAGGGTCTTGCCTAACGCAAGGGGGGGTAACACCTGTCACGAGCTACGTGGGTAGGTGCCATTGAGGTACTACATGGACATGAAGCGACCAGAGGACCCATCACGATGGCGACTGCTGACTCAATTGCCTACGAACGACAGGTGCATCGTCCTTGAAAGCAATCAAGAGCGCCTGTTCGCGCACACGCCCTCCACCAGCAGCGTCTGTATCCCAAAACCTTCGCCAAAGAAAGCACTGCGCCACCTCAAAGGGTGACAAAGAGAAAGGGGTGCGCATAGTCGGCCTGCACGGGGGGACAAATGGCACTCCAGTCAGCGTGGTGGATCCCCATATCTTAGCCTCCAACCTGCAGTCAATGCCGAACCTCAATACTCCGAAACTCCGACTCCGAGTCATATCGACGCGACATGAGTGGATGAATCATGTTGCACTACTGATTGACCAGAATCGGAACTTTATTGCCCAGGCTTTTTTGAACGAAGATACAATACAAGAACCCGCCTCGAGGTCAGGACACCACGTTGACTGCTTCAAAGTCGCCGACCCAGAATTTTTGAAGCATTTGATGATCGCGCCTTTTTTCATACAGGGTATCACGTTGCCTCCTATTACTATTACTACTATTATTATTATTATTACTACTATTACTATTACTCCTATTAGAGCTTAAAGTATACTATAAGTATATTGCCGACAGACTAGATATTCCTGTTCGAGACCATGGCTTCAAGTCCTTGGGCACCTGCCACTGCAGTTGCCCGCGTCAGTGCTAAGTCCATGCAAGCTTACCAATGACCCCCCCCCCCCTCCCATAGGCCCAGAGGGGTTTAGATGCGGTCAACCAATTACACGAGGGAAGGGTGGTTACATGTAGCCCGTGGAGATCGATGAGGGCCGTGGACATGGATGCAAGCAGCTCCAACGTCAAGTGTCCACCCAGTATCATGGCTAGGCTCTGGTTAGCCAGAACAGAACATGGATGATTTCCCTCGTGGGTGTTACAGAAATGGTAATCGAGGCTGATGCCAGCCCTGTGAGGAACCTGAGCGTGTCATGTGTCACGTGCCGACCTTTCACGACACAAGCTCAGCCAGCTCTGTTTGTTACTCAATCATCAGCCGCTGGGCAATTCCATGTGACCTGTTACTCTGTATATTCGAGTATTTTACGTAGTCAAACTTGCTGGTGTTGATAGCGGATAGTTTCGCCGGATGTCAGATACTGCGTGACGAAACGTCCGCCATGTGACGACTTCGGCCATCTGCTATCATCCTATTTAAAACAAAGAATTGGGGGAAACTATGTCGTACGGGAAGTCACGGTGTACTTCGCTGGATTAATTCTTCTCTTTATCGGACACCTGAGGCCTGAGGCGTATTCCTCAGCGTAGAGCAAGCTGATACTGACCATTCGTCATGATAACAACAATGAAACCACTGACGATAACACACCCCGCCGGCAAAATCGGTCTACTTGCGTCCCTCAACCGAGGAAAAAATATGCGACAACCCGGAATTGAACCGGAATCTATTGCTTGGAAGGCAATAATGCTAACCATTACACCATTGACGCGGTTCGATGAGGGCGGCCATGCATGGAGGGATCCATCACGACGGGGCATGCGCGAACTTTGCTTCGGAACTCACTGCACTGCGGAGTCTGAACCTTCTTGTAATGCAGGTCTCATGATGCAAGTCAAGCGAGCATTTGAGTTCATGTAGCTAGCTGCGAGGGATCGAAGCGAGACAGCATCTAGCAGAGATTGAACACTTCGTCGCGATGGGAGCAGTTGGTCGTGGAAGGTTGTCGGCGAATGCAGTCTGATTGGCAAGGTCAAGTAAAACGACAGCCTTGTGGCGTTGCAACGGAAGGCTTTACTTGACCATGCCGAGATCGTGGTTTACGCCAGCCAACATAACATTTGTCTCCTATTCCTACTACCGAGAACGCCCTTGATCTCGTAAACACAAGCAGCCGTGACCAGACAACACGAACGATGAAATACCACGTTCCCATGTGAAGACAGCGGGAGCCCGTGCACCCCCGTCCCCGCCGACCCAATCACCAAGTATTCCACCCACCACACGACCATCTCATCTCATCGCAACCTCTCCTCCTCCCATGAAACACACAGCCCACCATGTTCCTCCTGCGCGCCACAAGACCTCACCTCAGCCTCGTGCCACGCAACGCCATCCGCGCATTCACAACAGCACCTGCAGCCATGTCGGCCCAAACGCCGACCTTCTCACAGGGCGCCGACCCGTCGGCCCTCACGCCCAGACTCACGCCCCTCCTCGCGCCGGGCCGCTGGTCCCTCACCAACGAGGGCGCGGCCCTCGAGCGCACCTTTCGCTTCAAGACGTTCGCCAAGACGTGGGACTTTATGACGGCCGTGAGCTTGCAGTGCAAGCTCACGAACCACCACCCCGAGTGGTCCAACGTGCGTCCTGCCCGCGCCAGACGGGCCCGCTCGTTCTTACGAGCTGGCATGCAATGGGGGGGAGACGATGTATCCCCCTTGGACAGATGAGAGTAGCCACTGACAGCCTCAGGTGTACAACACGACCTTTATCCGCTGGACGACGCACGAGCCAAAGGGCCTCTCGGCAAAGGACGTCACGCTCGCGACGCTCTGCGACGAGTTGGCCAGGGACTTTGGCGAGGTTGTCGAGGACGCCTCCGCCGCGAAGGAGACGCAGGCCTGCGCTCTGGGCGGGCTGGCTGACGCGGCCGTTACGGCGGGAGGCGACTGCTGTGTGCCGAAGAAATAATTCGACAACCTCCGCCATTTGGGCGCTCATCTAGACCTCGGGCGCCGCCAGGAGAGGCATATTCAGGTCTCATGAACGAAAAAAAAGGAGCGTGTTTGATCGTTGTATTAATAGTGTAATTAATCACCATATGTAAATGATGGGCAGCCCCCTACTGTATGTACAACACGGAAAGAACCTGGCGAAAAAAAAGAAAAGACTCGCCCACTGCCCCTTCGCCCTTTTCACAACCCCTCAGACCGTGCCCCGACCTCTGGGAAAACATGAAAAACGCCGTCCCGATGAGTTTTCTAACAAGTACGCATGGCAAGATGCTGTCATCACTGCCTTGCGGCGTTCATTTGGGAAAGGAAAGGCTCTTTTGAACCCCCTCCCAATTTCCCTTGGATCCAAGCCCATTTTGTCTGTCGCCTCTGGCTGCCCAGATGGACAGCAAAAGGGCAGAAAAATGGAGCAGTTTACTGCTGCTTCGAAGCCTTCATGGCCTTGACCTTCCTCTCGCGGCGGCGCTTCATGGCCTCGGGGCTGGCCTCGGTGTCGAGGCAGAAGTCCCACCAGCGGAAGCTGGAGGCATAGTTGCCGATGAACTTCTCGTGGTGCATGTCATGGTGATCGGCGCCGGCCCAGAAGGGGAGGAAGTGACGCAGGGACCAGGGGAAGTCGTAGCCGCTGTGGGCGTCGATGGCCTGGAACAGGCGCAGGATGATCCAGACGTACATGGTCAGGAGGTGGAGGTCGCCGGTGATGAAGACCCAGATGATGGGGGAGCCGACAATGCCCATGCCGAGGATCATGACCTCAATCGGGGAGGCGTACTCAGCGGCGAGACCGAAGGGGGCGGAGTAGTAGTGGTGGACCTTGTGGATGGCCTTGTAGAGGGGACCGTAGTGCAGGGCGCGGTGCATCCAGTAGTGCCACGAGTCCTCCATGACGAAGAAGACGGCGATCTGCATGGCCATCTTCCAGGCGGGCGGGAAGGGGACGCCAAACTCCATGCCGCAGTAGGTAGCGAGAGGGTGGAACAGCCAGATCTGGGGAAGCTCGACGGTGAAGTGGGACAGGAGGACGACGTAGGTGCACTGCCACTGCTCCTTGAGGGTGGGCATCTTCTCCTCCTGAATCTTGTACTTGTGGAAATAGGGAATGAAGTCGAGGAGGATCCAGGGGATGCAGCGGCCGAAGTAGACGGCCTCGTGCATGACGAAGCTCATGATGCCGGTGGCGAGAATGTCGTTCTGCATCCAGATGTACCAGGCCTGGCCGTTGTGTTAGTCTGTGATCATCGTTCGACATTATGGGCGCGTCGCGCGCAGCCGACGGCGTGAGGGAGGGGCAACATACGGCCCAGAGGCGCTCGGCGGTGTTGAGCTGGACATTGTACTTGGAGACCTCATCGTAGACACCAAAGTAATCGGTGGTCTGGTTCAGACCAGCCATGACGACGGTCGAATTGCTGTTGTGAGAGAGCGCGCATTAGCAAGGAGTGGCGACTTGGCGAAGAATAGGGGGCGCGATCGAGGGGGCTCAACGTACGCGAAATCCATCTTGGTAGATGCCCACTCTCGACTCGGCAAGAGATTGTGTAAGAAGAAAGCGAAAGGGGAGAAATCCGCGGTGCTGAGGTGCTAGGGGAAAAGAATGCGCCTCCAGTCCTCGATGATCGCGAAGTGGGATGTCGAGTCGAGTCGAGTCGAAGATGGGCGATGGGCGATGGCAAGACGAGGAAAAGTCTATGATAAAGGAACGTCCGGTCTGAACGATAAAGGGTCTCGGGCTTGTTGAGGTTTTATCAATTTCGCTTGCCGCAGATGGGTATCGCCCCCTTTGCCCATTCATCTGGGCCCCCCCCCCCTGCTGGCCTGTTGGGTCGATGGGGCAGTAAATTGGGCCAATGACGAGACGACCTGATCATGAGCCCACGGTCCAGATGGACCTTCCGTCTTCCGAGCCGCTGGAATCCGATGCGGTCTCTGCCCATCAGTGGGACCCTGGTGTGTCTGGTCGGTGGAGCTCCTGTGGCTGAAGCGCGGTCTTGTGTGCTGTGTGACAGGCACGAAGGGGGGTCAAAAGGGCCCAAAACACATGCCAAATGAGAGCCATCTGGGACCTGATTGTTTTGCATGTGGCGGATCTGGTGTGGCTGACCACCCACCCCAATTCGTATTCGTTTTTGACAAGCGCAGGCACACAACACACACACACAACACACACACAAGCACCGCACGCACACGCAAGACGGGAAGTCCATGCCCGGGACCACACCACCCACCATGCCAGCGCAAGATTGCCGAATGGAAAGGATCAGCCCACCTGCCACCGCTGCCACTGGCTGTTCCCCTTCTGGCCTTCTAGGGGATCCAGAAGACCCCCGGCCTCTTTGAGATGTCGTGTCATTGCCTCGCCACTATTTGTTGATGCCGACTGACCCTTTCATCGACATGGCGTGGTGCAGCTCTTTTTTCGGTGTCCAGAATGGGGACTGAATGGAGACTGTGAGCGGGATGATTCGTTGCCGATGCTACGATTTTGCTCCTTCTTTGGCCAAAGCCCTGTCCGTCGATTTGATTTCCCTCGCCTGATATTGGGCACCTAGGGATAGGCAAGGGATTGGACAGACCCCGTTCGGTGTCTGTACATAGATAGTACATGGTACCTGAGCCGGCACAGGGCTGAATCAGGCGATTTGACGGTGAGCACCAGTCACCAGCCAATGGTAGGCAGGCAAAATACAGCGAGTCCTGGGAGGTGGACTGCATATATTCACAAGGGCTTCTCATTCCTCCACGCACACCCACATGCTGATTGAAGTACACAACTTGAACCTAGATTGAGTGGCCTGAGGCTAAGTGGATAGCCAGATGCTGCAGGACCCGAAAGACGCAGTTCATGGTTAACAAAGTGCGTACCTAGGTACCTTAGATAAGGCAGCGTTAGTCAGCACCCGCTTGCGGTCACCACCACAACGACCGACACACCAATGACGATGGAGGCTCATGACGTTGCCCCGTCGTAACCCACCAGGGCCAGAACTGATAGCTCAGCTCGCTTTCTGTTTCGTCCACTGCACCTGCTGAAGCTCACATTCTCCGTGTTTGCAAACCTCCATCATCCCAACCCTTTTTCAACTGTTCAGCCTCGTGGAGGCATCGTCCCACGTGACAGCCATCATTCCGTCAAACCTCCGGCTCGGCACGCAATATTCCAACGTCATTCAGGCCTGGGCGTAGTATGCTTCACTAATCAGACTCTTTGACACACCTCCAGGCTGCTCGGCTCCTGGTCGCCATCATGTCAATCTTTGCCGAGTCAGTCCCACCCTTCCTTCACACAACCACTCACTACCACCCCTCTCCTGTTGCCCACACCCATCTGCATGAAATGTTCTGGGGCCATGTTGATTGACCTGAGTTGTCCGTGTGAACAGCCGCGTGCGACGTCTTGACGCTGATTTGGACCGCATCTCCTTGGGGTTTGATCGGCCACAACGCCCCAGACGTTCATCAACGTCCACATATCAAGACCGAGCCTCCAGCGCGCATGACCATGACCGTGATGATCACGACGAATCAGAGCGAAGCAGTCTGTCAGAAGTCCTCGAGGCCTCAGAGGACGGTTCCGTCTTTGCCCATGCCGCCATAGACGCCCTGTCAAGACCTCGAGCGGTTAACCTCCTTGAGGTTGTCAAGGCTCTCTCATCCACATCCTCATCACACCCTCAGCTATCTTCATCAAGAATCAGGTTTCTTCTTGAGCAATCCGGAATCGCCGACCCGGAAATCCAGTCGGAAGCCTTTGAGCAGTATGACGAGTCCGAGAGGAGGCACATGTCCAACATTGAGTGGCTCATCATCAGCAAAGCAACCGTGCAGACCTGCGGCCTCATCCAGGCGACGCTTTTGGATCAGATCATCCCACTGAACAACGAAATCTGGTACTGGGAAGAGGTCCTCAACTCGTACGTCTACAGCAGCATCTACACCGTCCAGACGTCACCTATTCGCCTATGGGCACTCTATCAGGAGAACAAGCACCGCATGAAGCCGCTTAGTTCTTCACCCACCGAGATGGCCAACTCGACCTGGGAGGGCATCAAGGGTCCCTGGGTTCAGTTCTACGACATCGTTCGCACCACTGTTCGCGATCGGTCCATGGTCGGTCTGCAAGGAAAGGTCCTGTCGCCCATTTCGCAGGCACGCCGCGAGGCACGCAAGAAAATCGCAACTCTCAAGAAGTTGAGAGAAATGACTTCGACCGGTCTCGGCATACTTGTTGACGAAGCCTTGGCGTTTGGCATCGACCAGGACGATGCCAACAGTGATGTCGAAATCAACAGCCATCTTGATTGGAAGGGCGTTACCTGCCGCAGCGTGGCGCTTATGGAACAGGTCCTCCAAGACGTCCTCAAGCTTCGCTACAGCCTCGTGGATTACGAAAATGGAGTCTTCACCGGTGTGCAGGACGACCCCGAACTGTTCCAGACGGTCGACCACGACAACGCCTCTGACCAGGCGGCTGTCGTCACCCGCCGCCTATTCCAGCTTCTCGAAACCACTCTGCCTGTTCACAACGACCAGCTGGCGCGCCTTGTGACAGAACATGGCCGCCCCTCTGTCCTCGTTCGCTACTGGCTCCCCGCAACTGTTGCTGCGCTCTCCTCCACCACTGTTCTCCGCATCCTAGTCAACAGGCAAGCCGAGCTCATCGCATGGGCTCAGGATGCTGCTGCCACGGTCCGCGACTTCTGGGCCAACTGGATCATCGAGCCCACTCGCAAGGTCGTCCGCACCATTCGCCATGATGAGACGAGCGAGATCGCCATCATGAGCCGTGACAGTCTCAAGGCCGACCGTGAAAGTCTCCAGCGTATGGTTGTCGACTTTGCCACAGACAACCCCCACTTTGCCAGCGCCAGTGGTGCCGCCTCGGGCCCAACCTCGGCCCTCACCGAAACCGACATTGCCGCCATCCGTGCCAAGGTGAACGAGGGCGACGTGACACCCGTCCTCCGCGCCTACGAGCAGGATCTGCGCAGTCCACTCAAGGGCGCCGTGCGCGGCGACCTCATCCGTTCCCTCCTTATCCAAGTGCAAAAGACAAAGGTTGACCTCGAGGTCGCCATTTCCGGCATTGACGCCCTTCTCAAGTCCCAGGAACTCGTCTTTGGTTTTGTCGGTCTGACACCGGGTATTCTCGTTTCTATCGGCGCACTCCAGTACCTTCGCGGTGTCCTCGGTGGACGGAAGGGCGCCCGCCACAGCAAGAAGGCGGGCAAGAGCGTGCGTGTACTGAGGAATATCGACCGCATCTTCTCGGAGGCCACGCCGACGGCGGATAACGTCCTCACGTACCGTGACCACGGATTGCTGCTGTGCGAAGTGCACGTGCTGCGGACACTGATGCACAAAATTCTGCCTCGGGATGTGGAGAAGGAGTTCCTTGAGGACCTGGAGGACCTCTCGAATCTGCGAGGGTTCCAGATCCAGGTGCGCGCCTTGGACAGGATCAAGTGGGCGTATGCCAAGTGGCTGTCGTAGCGGACGATGAGGCCGGACCGTCAGCGTGAGCATGTGCCGGTCTGAGACGCAGCCGATGGGAGCTGGAGGATGATATGAGTGAAAGGTACCCCGTTGGAGACATCGTAGAGAAGCCATTGAGTCCATGACGACACTGGACCGAAGAGGGAGGCCAATTGCGCAGTTGCAGCAACCACTCTGTATATTCCAATAAAAAACTTCATCATCCATCCCATCATCACTCTACAACAGCCGACTTCAGTCGTCCAAGCACACACGCACGCACGTTACGCCTCTCGCCTGTTTCGCCATCGCTCGCTCCGTCGCTCGCGCCCACGCCCGCCAATGCACCGAATGGCCTCAGCCTCAAGTCAACAACATCCGGGTCGACATCAACACCCACAACACCACGCCCTCAGGTATGCCCAAGCCAACCCAACCTCTAAACTCCACAGCCACCGACTCCAAGACTTGTACACCGAGCCAAGAAGCCCTCTCGCAACACAACAACTCAACGCCATGCGACCTTTTTTCTTTGGTACCCCATTTTCCGCTGCCTCTTCCATGTTTACCCTTGCCCCAATTTGCTCTTCTCCGTCACACGATCACACACACACACACAAGTACAACAGCCCGACCACTACGGAGGAGAGAGAAGAGAAGAGAAGAGAAGAGAAGTGGAGGAAGAGTATGAGGTGAACGCTTTACACGCCGGTGGCGTCGTCAAAGACAATGGCGGCCTTGATGGCGCTCTTGTTGCGGATGCTCTCGAGGGCCTCGCCGAACTGCTCGAGGCGGAACGTCTTGTTGACGATGCCGGCGGTGCGGACCTTGCCGCTGTCGAGGTAGTCGATGGTGGCGGCTGAGAGCGGTCAGTGACGTGTTGCATTGGATGTGGTCAGGGAGAAGAAGGGGAGGAGGAGGAGGAGGAGGAGGAAGAGGAGGGGCATCGAGAGGAAGAAGAGGACGGCGCAAAAGAGAAAGGGGAAATGGAGGAGAAAAACGTACGGAACATGTAGGTCTCGGAGAAGGAGCCGAGAATGGTAATCTCGTCGCCGAAAATCTTGGACGGCGGCCAGGAGACGCGGGCGGCCTCGGCGTAGACGCCGTAGACGACGAGCTTGCCGCCGCGGCGGACGTAGTGGATGGCGTCCTCGAGAATCTTGGTGGAGCCGGTGGCCTCGACGACGACGTCGAAGCCGTAGGGGTTGTCCTTCTTGAGCTGGGCGAACTGGACCTCGGGCTCGGAGCGCGAGAGCTCAATGTAGTGGTCGGCGGCGTCGAGGCTCTTGGCGAGGTCCATCTTGAGGCCCTGGGGCGCGGCAATGGTGACGCTGCAGCCGCCGTTGTGGCGGAGCAGCTGGGCGAGCATGAGGCCCGTGGGGCCGGCGCCGAACATGAGCACGCTCGAACCCAGGCGGGGGCGGATCTTGTCGAGGCCGTGGCAGGCGCAGGAGGCCGGCTCGAGCAGCGTCGCGTCGACGTCGGTGAGGTTGCTGAACTTGAACACCTTGCCCGCCGGGTACGCGCAGTACTCGGCGAAGCCGCCGTTCATGGTGACGCCGTGGGCCTCAAACTTTTCGCAGAGGAGGAGCTCGCCGCGGCGGCAGTAGAAGCACTCGTTGCAGAGCTCGCTGTTGTCGGCCGCGACGCGGTCGCCAATCTGGAAGCCCTTGACCTCGGGGCCGACGGCGGCGACGACGCCGACCGTCTCGTGGCCGGGAATCAGGGGGAACTTGGCGATGAACTCGCCCTCGTGGATGTGCAGGTCTGTCGATGAGTGTCAGTCATGTTGCCCCATCCCTTGGTCTTTCCCATCTCTTTAAGCTATGGCGAAAGGGGAGGAACGCACCAGTGCCGCAGACACCGCAGGCGCGGACCTTGATGAGGATGTCATTGGGGCGGAGCTCGGGGAGGGGGACCTCGACGATGGACCAGTCCTCGGGCTTCTCGTAGCTGGTCGACGGCATCAGTATGGAGATTGCGGGCGGGGGGGGGGACGGGTGACAGGTTCAGACAGCGTACCGGAGAGCCTTCATCTGCTTGGGAAGGTTTGCCATTTTGACGGATTTGTGTGGTATTCAAGGATGGAAGAAGAAATACGTGAGCTCGAGTAGACAGAATGGGATGGATAAGTGAGGAGAGAGGTCTCGTTCTTCAGTTCACTGCAAGATAAGAGACACGAAGAGCTGGAGATAGGTATCAATTAAACCTTCAGAGAGAAAAAAAGGCCGGCAACTCTAATTGTCAAGCTTCCACACGGGACATCCTGAAGACTTTATACCAAAAGAGCGACAGCTGGTTCAGCTTGGGAGGGGCCCGCCTCTGAGGGGGGGGGAGGAATAGCAGCAAGGAAAACAGGCATGCAGCAACCGAGCACAGGGAGCCAAAAAGCAGGCCAGAGCTCAACGTCAGAGGTCCGCTCAACAGCGCGGGGTGGACGCGATGCCATTCCCATTCCGCTCTAGCACCCCCGCGTAGCACGACCGGAGGCCTGGGCCCCTCCTTGGGGCCCACGATGATGATGAAGAGGATGCGACGGGATGGCATGGATTGTACTTT